ATATACGTGTATATGTTATTGTGTATGTGTGGATTCGCATGTGTTTTTGAACATAAAAATATAGGTCCTTGCTAGATTAGATAATCGTTATATTTATTCTTTATATGTTTATATTTGATTTGTAACCTGTAGTCGATATTAATTTTGTCAAATTTTCTCAATTACACAGTGGCCCTTTCAGTAAATGTCCTTCAATTTTAGTTTCCCTCGCCCCATCACTCTCCCCCACCTCTTCTTTCCTTCTCTTTCTCTCTCTCTCTCTCTCTCTCTCTCTCATTCTGATCTTTAACATTAGATCGTCTATGGTGTGTGTATGTCACCACGAAATGTATCTTTAATGTATTAGACATCCGACAACATTCATATTTCCCCCTTCCATTCACCTCTAGTTAGAAAAAATCCCTCTCTGTTAAGTTTTAGCCTCCCACCTTCTCCGTCTATTACCCCTCTCTTTAATCTAACATTCGTCTCACACTCTCATACTTACACTCTCTCTAAATTCTATTTTTATTTCCGGAGTTGTTTTTTCTGTTTTCTTTTTTGAATTTGTAGGTCTGATGAATTGGATCGTATTTACGATTCCAATGGAATAAATTATGACCATGGAATAGTAGTGTTTAAGCCTTTTTATTATATATATATATATATATATATATATATATATATATATATATATATATATATATATATATATATATAGTTTATAAATTTATATATACATATATGTATATATATATATATATATATATATATATATATATATATATATATATATATATATGTATATGTATGTGTGTGTGAATGAAGGATAAACTTCAAATTAAAGAATTGAAGAACGTAAGTGTTTTAAGAAACACAGGAAATTACATTATTTCGTAATGTAGGTACGCATTCCTTTGAAAAACTAGAAAGGAAATGAACAATAAAACGTCGGAGCGTCTACAATAAACAAACGACAATTTTGAAAACATTAATAAACATGAAACAGACTGTAAAGGCTTAAGTAAAAAATGTTTAACATTCATTTGTTTTTAATCAAACGTTTATAAACCAAAATGCTCCCCAACTCGAACAAATATACAGGGTGCGATGGATAAATTGTAGTGTAAATTACGCAAAACTGAAAATAACACACAGATGTATTTACCAAAATTACACAAAAATATTTTGAAATACTAAAGACTAAATTTATTCAATAAAATCGCCATTGGCTTCAAACGCGTTGTCCAGACAGCTTCGGAATCTCCTACAACTCTTCTGTTTTGTCTCCTTGTTTAAGTTGGTTAATGTTGCATTCAGTTCATCTTTAGTGTTACAAGGAGTTTTGTTGGTCTATCGCTCAACTGTGTCCTACAAAAAATAATCAAGGGGTTGCCTTTTGGGCAGTTATTTGGCCAGATGTAAGGGATGATGTGGTCGCAGAAATTATCTGACAGCCATGATTGGGTTCTCTTGCTTGTGTGGCATAGTGAAGAGTCCTGTTGTTATACATAGGATCTTCCGGCAGCCACCATTTTGACCAAGGGCAGCACTACCTCCTCAAGGCAATTGATGTTGGCCTCCGTGTTGAGTCTAAGGCTCTCACCAACAAATCCCTGCTTTCTTTTCTTATTAGAACGATCAAAGTGAATTTTCCGAGGTGTCGCACGTTCGTAATCACCATTAGACTCATCCAACTCTTTTTGAATCATCTGCACTGTCCTCAGATTGACACAAAAACGTTCTGAAATGTTCGTACTGGAGCTTCCGGCACGAATGCCAAGCAGTACAGCATGCCATTTTCAAATATCTGGCGAGGGGAATTGTGTCATGGTGCTCTTTTCCTCAAAGAACTGAGCCTACTATATAACAAAATAAACTAAAAAAAAAAGAAACAACGTGCATGCGTGAAATTAGAATTATAAAATGGCGAAAATTTACCCTCACACCCTGTATATGCGTTGGAAAGTCGCCATCATTGGCTTTGTATTTTAACCAGCGATGGACAAAAACCTGCCAACTGCGCCCAAATAATTGTCTCATCAGCCTTATTATTACCACCATAACTGTGCTCATATTCACTCTTTGGTCTCTTTAACATTCAGCAAGCGTTGACAAATGTCAATGAGTGTAATTTTTTCGCGTGGAAGAATTTATCGACATAATACTGTATTGTACGTACTTTCATGTCAGACGTCATTTTGCCAGATTGACATTGCTAACAAAGCAAAAGCAATGATGTGTAAATTATACAAGAACTTTTGTAAAAAAGTAGTGAATGAAAAAAAAGAAGTAAAAAAAACAATCGCAAGATGGCAATGCACAGGTGTCAGATAAATGAATAGACCAACATACAGATTACGAATTGGAGATACCAAAACTAAACAAGTACAGCAACATAAATATCTGGGAAGTGTTTCGACAGAGGACGGCAAGTGTGACACCGAAATCCGAAGGCTCGTTAGGACAGCGAAAGATGCCTTCAAAAAGCTAAGCAAAGTCTTAATAAATAGAAAAATGTCGTTAGAAACAAAAAAAAAGAGTACTGAAATATTACGCGATGTCAGTTCTCTTAAATGACACTGAATGTTGGATAATCTCCTCACAGATGAAGAAGAGACTTGAAGCAACAGAAATGTGGTTCTGCAGAAGGATGCTGAGGATACCATCAACTGAACATGTGAACAGCAAGTTTTAAGGGAAAATGGAAACAAAAAGGACGCTTATACTTAGAATTAGAAAGAGACAGTAAACATTTCTAGGGAAAATAATGAGGAAAGAAGGCTTGGAAAATTTGATAACCACAGGGCATTTTGAAGTCAAGAGGGAAAGAGGAACAAAGCGGATAAGCCCTACCTAACGAGCTTGCGTGAATGAATAGTAGAACACGCTTTGGGAGATATAGGAAGAAAAAAAAAAGACAAAAAAAATACTAAGAGCTACAAAGGACAGGAAATTGTGGAGAGTCATGATCGTTAACGTCCTAAACGGACACGGTAAGAAGAAGGCGGGAACTTTTCACCTTCTACTGCTATAAGACCATTCGTCTCTGACGTCAGCGGGCAACAAAATAATATCGGAGACATTACTTTTGGAGCAGTTCGTGCCTATAACAAAAGCACACACACGCACACAAGCATAC